ATCAGTATTTTGTAAGCATATCGACCAATCAACTAATTAATTAATGTAGAATTCTTACCACATCATTTTTTAATCAACAATCTAAGACGTTTTTACTGTTGTTCACATGACCGTATACTACACCTTCACTTTCATAGCATTGCTGTTATTTTAATCGCCTCATGCATAGCATAATAACAGGTCGGAGTAGACATACACGAGAGGCAGCAAAAAATGATACCAACGAGTCATGCTGTTTCACTTGAGCTGTACTACCGGAAAGTTTCTGGCTTTGTTACTAGTCTATGTGCCACTCTGTCAGTTGAAAGGAATTGTGACATGTTTTTGGTTGAAGCTTTTGATCACGGTATGCTCACAAAGAAATGGACACTCATTCAATAGTCTACTAGATTTTGTTTCTAACACGTGATCAGTTTCAATGAGATTGGTTACAGCTGAGCTTAGAGTTCTGTTTGCAAACTTCTTAACTGGTTTTTGTTTTATTGATATTTATTTTCTACCTAATTTGTGCATATGTGTTTTGCACCTACGCTATGCAATTGAATCATAGGGAATTTTGCTTGAAGAATAGCCTTTCAGACTTTCAGTACTTAACTTAAACATCAACGTCAACCCTCTATCTAGCTCCCAGAAAACTGCCGTTTTTCACGGACCCAATTCATTTGTCAATAAATAAATCCCGCTTAGTTAAAAAGGAGTATTTACTTACGGGTAACTTCTTCCTACAGTGTCTGAGAAGCACCAGAACCTAATCAAAATATGTTGCTAAAAATAAACTTGCTATGCAGGGAAAAACAATTATAACAGTGCTAGTAATAATACGATTTTGTACATTATTCGATTCGTCCATTACTTAAAAAATTCCCCCAAAAAAAGAGTTAAATCGCTAAGTACAAATAACTGACTATCAAACTTCAGTCATAGTCGCCTCTTCTGTTAAAGACACGGATGAGTAGCTTCGGTGATGCTTGCTGGCTGCTTTGATGGGCTGATGGTCTTTGTCGCATTCTATATCTTTCAGCATTTTCTCCAATGAAATGTTCTTCCATGTGTCTTCAACGTCGTCAGCGTATCTCAATTTCTCTTGCCTCGCTTGCGAGCTGATCTCCTTGTACTTCTTTCGATAGGCCTGGTACGACTTCTCGTACTGCTGCATCTCTGAATGTATATCATGTGTTGAGCTGAACGGTAAACTCGTAGAACTTTCTGGATACACCGTTGAAAAGGTGTTGACCAACTTAGAACCAACTTTTCCGGTCACATCGTCAACTGTCAGTATTTCTGTGTAAGCACCATGTTGTTCCCACTTCTCGCTTTTTCTCAGAACCTTTTCTCCTGAGGCGTCGCCATCATTGTCCGCTGGTATAGGGGCAGGGAGAGATTGTTCGCTCAACGGCAAGTCTTCTGCTTGCTTCGTTTCGAAACAATCGCCTTCGCCGAGTGTCGACATTTTGCCAGATGAAGCAAGTTGGTCAGCCCTCGATTTCTGCACCACGCTGTAGCTAATCTCATTTATCATGGGCGACACCGTGGCAGTCTTATTCCTAAATGCTTCACTTCGTTCAGCCTCAGGAGGCAAGCCCCTGTCCTCAACTACTGGCATGTGAGCAGATGCGGCATAAGACTCACGACGGTGCAGGCTGTGATCAGCCCGCTCTCTCGAAGCTCTAATCCCTGGCCTGACATCGAGCGTTCCGTCCGTCGGTTGACCACGGAAACGGTCAGCCTGTCTTTGCCATTCTTGATCTGTTCTTTCCGTATTATAGTTAGTAGAAGAAATTAAAATCGATGATGTGGACATGGGACGTCTACGTTCCTGTGACTCGGTCTGATTCCAGTGATGAGGCGGCTTCATCTTAGAATAAGGCGGTGGCGGTGGTTGCGGTAGCGAAGGACGGATACACTCTCTGTAGCCGTTGTACTCACCCAATGACCGTCTGAACTTCTCGGGCGACGACGGCACAATGGGAGTACCAGTAGCATCCGGATTCGACTGTTCCAGGTAATCAGACTCGTAATATGTTACCTGAAATAGAAGTTCATTAAAATCACAATATTAGTTTGAGTCAGCTGCTTAATCGTTTTGAGAAAAACCATAAATATTATATGTTTCTAATATTAGACCTGGAACGAAACTATGTTCACTAAATCAAAATTGATGAAGTTCGTATTTTCCAAGATAAAAAAATAATTTCTTAAAAAATTTAATAAAAGTGCAGATTGTCAGATTTCAACCGGCCTGTAAGTGCTCTTCAGGTAGCTTACCTGTTCATCATCGCTATGTATTCAGTGAGTATTATTGGAACTGACTGCGATTTGATGGATCGCACAATGTCAAGCAAATCTAAGCCTTTACATGGCAAGATATTTATAACGCATCTGCCAATTACTTATTCAATTATCTCCAATACTACCTTCATAAATGGCCGCCGAAAAATTACCCTCCCTGGCCATGTGGTGAACGGTCCAAACTGAGCTTCCCGCCGACAATACGTTCTGTAACAATTCGCAGCGAAGCCCCAATACCCTTCTGATGAAGACTCAGAGATAAACCACTCTCTATGTAGCCGAGGCAGCTTACTCGAACAGGCCCGTATTTCGAGACGGTTCAAAGCTGCTATCGCCACAGACCATAAGTACTTAGTGCAACGGTCCTATTGCTGACCACGTGTCACAATTCTATTTACGCGACGGTGGAATCATAGATCGTATTTTTGACAGTTTTTTATTCA